AAAGCTTTTATAAAGAATCTTTTCTTGAAATTTTTACTCGAATGGCTTAGTGCATCTGAAAACATGAAGGTATTCTTAGTCATTAATTTTTGTTGCAGAGTTGCCGAGCAGAAGAAGCAGTTTCTATGGCTATTTATAGGTGTTTCGCCTTCGTGTAGATACCTAAAAACCTATGTAGATGAATTGTAAGCTTCTTCGTTGTCAAGAATAAAGAATTTGTTTTTTTTGCTAAGTTTTTTCTGCTTAATTTTCTTTTCTTGTTGAAACAATAAAGAATAAATTCTTGGGCTTAACAAAGTACAGTCAGAGAAGAATATAAAGAAACCAAGAAAATAACCATTGGACAGATTTTTTTACTCTATATAAATCGTGCGAACCTAGCGAAACGAACAAAACAAACCTTTGTAAAGAAAATGAAGTTTAAAAGGAAAATTGAGCAATTATTAAACCAAAAACAACAATCTTATTTCGTTTACAGTTGCAGTAAAAATAGTGGTAATAGAAAAAGTAAAAACAAGAATGATGAAAGGGCTAATAACAACAATGGCAGTTATAATAATAATGATAAATAATTGTAATAATGCTAATAACAACATCAGTAACAAACTTAAAACTATTGATAATGATTACAATAATTGTAAATGTAATAATAAGAGTATCAGCAAGCAACAAAAGTGATAATAGTGATAAGCAAAAAAAGAACTTTTTTGAAAAAAGAAAAAAGTTAAGTTAAATCGCATAAAAACTTACTCTAAAAATTTTAAATCTTTAAAGAAATCTAGAAACAGATCTTTTCGGTTTCAGGCTTCGTCTGTTTTTCTCTCTGACTTGCTGTTCACCTATTGTTGCTTTCAATTTGCATGCCACTTGACCTCAGATTTACTTTAGGCATGAAAGTTCTGAGGTCTAATAAAGTTCTAGATAAGTTTAGCTCTAAGATTTCTTGAGAAGCTGACAATTACAGATGTGCATATCCAAACTCTTTCTGCTAGACCTGCAAAAACTTCTGAATTTGCTAAATCCGTTGTTTTTTCTAGTAGAAAAATCCTATTAAGGTTTTCTGGATGCTCACTACTTTTGATTTTGACGTTAAGACTTTTTTTGCTGTTGTATAGATTGCTGTAACGAAGTTTTCACCGTTTTAGTTGTAAAACTAGTAAAAGCAATTTTCCCAATTTGATGACACTTAATGCCGCCAAGTCTTTTCCCATCAATACGAAAGAACTATGGCTGTACGTAAAAATAACAATGTGCTATTTTTTAACGCATCATTTTTCTTCACGTTTCTACAAAAAATAATTGCATTTTTTGCGTTTAATTTATAAATTGTCTTTTAATGTTTTTGGGAGTTGTGCTATGCAAGTTTTATTTATAATTCTGCCACTTTTTTATTCATTTCGCTTTTCTCTTCGATGCACTTGCTTCAGACCACAGAAGTAGATGAGCTTAAGAAGCTAAAAGAAGCAAAAATGTTGAAGATTTGTCTGCTGCTGTTGGCTGCGCTATAGTTCAAATTATAAACAAATTATTTTAGAATCAATATTGTTTGAATACTTAGTTAGGTTTATTAGGTCCAATAAAAAAAAAAAGAATTTAATAACATTCAAGCAATTTTTATCAATTTACGGCAGCAAAAAATTGGCAAAAAACATCTAGCAACAGCTGAGATGCATATCTTGTTCATTTGGAACTATTTTTTCTCTTGCCTAACTCGTTTGCTGCAACGTTGAACTAGTGCATAGTAAACAGTCTGTAATGGTGTTTACGTGCCCATTCCTACAAAGCCTGCCTACTGGAATGGGTTCTGTAAGTAAAATAGCATCTTTGGAACTGCCGGGTTTATTAACAGTGCCAGAAGTTTTATTCAGTATGTTTGCGTTATGTCGAGATTATTTTATTGTCTCAACTTTGAATCACGAGGGCAATTGAGAATATTGTACACGTCATCTTTAATGACCGTTAAGCGATACACATTCGAGTGCTGCCAATACGTCGAACTCATAAATGATGGTGATGTTGTAATTATGCCTGAAAGTAAGCCTAAGCGAGGAATTCATCGATTACTACTACTTGAAGAACGGTTGCTAAGTTGTTGAACTTAGCATACTGACAGTAGAAACTGATATCTTCAATGCAGATTGCTACAGATTGATTTAAGTGAACTTAAGTGGCCTGAAATATATGCAGTCGGGATATCTCAGTATTAAATCTTTTTAATTTAGCGGTTATTCAACGACAGAAGCGTGAATGAGCTATGAATTTGATATATTCGATAATTAAGTTCAAACTGTAGAACAATCAGCGTTTCTTTGTTCTTTTTAACGTATCTGCTATTTAGTCTTGGTTTGTCTACTTCTATCATCTAATTAATGTTTTAACAAATTAAGTGCGTAAATGCTGAAACTGAATTCTTTTAAATTAAAAAAAAGCGATCGCTTCTCTTGTTATTCACTGTATATGCATTTTTTCTCTATATTTTAAGTTGTACTGAATTCGCTTGTTTACTTGTTTTTTACCTATAAGTTTTTTTTGTTGAATAAAGTAACAGAAATAAATTGGAGTAAAAAGTCTTCATTTCTCTAGTTCTTCTTTCCAAATTTTAATTATATTATCGCAAAAACGAATATAGTAGTAGACTTGTTAGAACAACGATAAATGATAAGTAAACAATTTCTGCTATCGTGCGTTCATATAATAAATTTTTTTTTTGCTTCTTAACAGTTCAATTTTTAGTAAATCATATGAATTATTTATACGTTGCGAGACTAAAAAAAAAATAAATTTGGAAAAGAAGACATCTTCATAGCTGCTTTTATCAACGTTAGATAGGTTACACTTTTATATCAGTCTTACTGCTCCAGTGGCTGTTAACTATTTGGTAGCTAACATTTCTGCTACTATTGTTACAGTTTAAAATAATGAATTCATAATAAATTTCATTTCTTTAGACTGCATACCTTTTCGCTTCTGTTAATGAGTCGGAATGACTTTTCAGAACTGTGGCAAGCAACAATAAACTTTTGAAGAAAATCTTCCTTGTCACAATTGTATTTTGAAAAATTATTTTCAAAAGATCAAAGTAATTTTTGTTTTGTCATTCAAGCTGATCAGTATTCAGACTGCCAAATAAATGTCAGATCCTTGCTGACTCTTTCAGAGCCATTCGCCTCTGAGAAAGATGGCAAAAAAAGCAAAACTGCAGAGGTAGAATAAGGAAGACTTTGTTACAGTTTTTGCAGCCAAATGGTAAGTTTTTTCGGTATTTACCACTCCTCTTTTCACTTTTTTTTTCAACATAATCAAAATCTTGAATTAAGTTTAGAAACAAAATTTATAAATGCCCAACAATTGAAAACTGGTAAAGTGTTTTGCTTTTTGTCAAAAATTATAAAACTGAATACTGCATACTGCTACTTAGAGTTTTCTTTTCTTATTGCAGTATTATTATTATTATTATTATTATTATTATTATTATTATATTATTATTATTATTATTATTATTATTATTATTATTATCATCATCTGATTCCGAAAAATCTCAAAATTAATTTATTATTATTGTCTTATTATTATTATTATTATTATTATTATTATTATTATTATATATTATTATTATTATTATTATTATTATTATTATTATTCTTACTGTCATTAATGACGGTTTTAAATATTGATGGTGAAAACATTGTTGCCAGTACTACCATTACTGTCAAGATTTTTATTACAAATTTATAAACAAAGAAAATGATGATAATAATAATTGTAATGATAACAATAGTAATAATAATTATAATTATAATAATAGTAACAATAATAATGATAATGATAATAACAATAACAATAATAATTATAATAGTAATAATAATAGTAACAATGTTAATATCAATAATGATGAAAGTATTAATAATATTAATTTAAATAAATGATGGAAATAGTTTTAAAAAGCTACTGCAGACAAATATAACAAAAAATCATAATTGACCATTTGATGAACCTTACAATTCGATTAATAGGGTTGCTGCAGTTTCCAGTCTTTAGATTTTTACAATAGTTATTAAGTTGTTTATTTTTCTTTTGCTTTTTGCTGATAAAAGCTAATAAATCTTAAAAATTTTTTTAAAGATAAACAGTGCAAAAAAATAATAAAAAACAAGAACAACAACATCGCCAGCAGCAAAAACGACAACAGCCGTAGCCATAGTGGCGGTGATAAGAGACGTTTATTAAAAGATGTAATTTTTACGATTAGCTTCTTTTAACTTCTTTAACTTCTACATTTCATCTTTATTAGTGTAACAGAAAAAGTGTTTTTTTCTTCACTTATTACAACACATTTTCTACTTTTTTCCAAACCAATAAAAATTTGGATTTGTTTAAAAAAATGACTAATTTCATGGATCTGAGACAGGTTTTTGTGGAGCAAACTTGTCTGTCCGTTCAGATTGTATTTACAATAAAGTTCAAAACTATACCACCCTTATTGGAGTTCAAATCCGTCCTCTTCTGTCCTCTTGATTTTGTCACTTGTCATAGCTTGTTTTTTTTAAAAGCGTCGGAAGTTTTGTAAAAGTTGCAGATTGAATATTTTCTGCTCCTTGCATATCAGCATTAAGTTGGTATCATTGTTGTTTTCTCTTCTCTTTCTTCTGTTCTAAAATGTCTTGCTTCTTCTTTTGCAGTGATAACAAGCTTCATGCGAATGTTACGAAATTCATTTTGAAAGGTTCATTTATGAAGCAGCTACTATGCCTTTCCATTCTCCGTTTTTTATGTAACTTTATTATGAAGTAAACTTTTTTCGACTAATTTGTTCAAATGCCACTTTACTGTATCAGAATTACTGTACGACCGCATAAATATATTTTTTTGTTGTTTTCTTCCTCACGAAATTAACCTGTAGCTTTTTTTGCGTTCTGTACTAAGTATATATCAAAAGCGAGTTTATCAAATGTTACTTTTCATAACGAAAACTAGAACTAAAGTTGCACAGACATTCTAGGATGTCTGCTCCTGGAGGACAAACTACATCAGAAATTAACGAACGGCACTCGCTGCGTACTTCAGCAATTATATGCGCATTGATTCAATCTGTAGCTACCGTGGGAATAAGGTAATTTTTTGTAGTGGAGATTTCATACTTGAAATCACTGTACTTATCATCTTGCCATTCTTGCTTCATCCTCACCTAAAGTATTGTATCTTTAAAATGAAATAAGAAATCAACTTGTTCTTTATATTTGGCCATACTATCCAAAAAGCAATTTAGTTTTCCCTAACTTTAAATATGATTTGAATATTCTAAATCAACTGTCAACAATCCTAGCATGAACAAACGCCTTTAATAAGTGGAGGACTAATTTGAGTAACTTCTCCAATAAATTTGTTTATTACATCAGAACAATACCAATAAATTTCAGCCTAATACTGCTTATATTTGTGCACAGTGGCAGAACGTCGATAACAGTCGTTTTAGCAGTAGTAAATTTATTCGCATGTGTTGCAGCAATTGTATTCTTAGCGCTTTGTGTCTTAAAGCGAAAATACGGTCGAAACTATGATCGCATTCTTCACACTTATCTTCTCAGTATGGTAAGCCAGTAATTCTATTAGCGCGTCGCATGCGACGACGTTTTCAAATTAATTCTACTGTATATAATTAGAACTGAAATACTATTTTTGGACTGGTAATAAGCTGAAAACAAGATGAAGCACTTGTCGAATTTGTTAGAAGGAGGCATCTGCCAGTTGCTATATACTGCTTCCTAATTAAAATAGTTTATTTTTCGACAACATGGTACGATTGGATGTCTTTCGCTTGACATGGTTTCTTTTAAAATAAAACTGATTACTTCGAGTTTAGCTGGTTGAAGGCTTGGCTAGCCTTTTTGCAGTATTATTCTACCCGTTACTCTTATTACAACACTTAAACGAATGGGAAACTGAAAATATTGTTGAAGCAGCGTCGATGACGATTATAGGAGCGGTAATGGTTTCTTACCAAGTATTCCAGAAGCGTATTGTTGAAGATATGCTTACCTACATGGAATATAATTTCAAATAATATTCATCTGAGTTGAAAATTTTGTCTTTAAAAAAAAAAAGCAAAAAGTTTTCCGGTTGTTTTATAACAGATATGTAAAGAGGATTATCTTTTTTTCTTTACCCTACTTACTGATAAAGAGCTGTGAACAAGTTAAATCACAGATCCTAAAACAAATATCAGATTCTAGTGTACTAAACAACTGTTAAATGATTACCAATAATCTGGCTGCAATGATGATAGTGAAGAATCGTGTCTGTGTATGTGTGTTTCTGTGTAGAATAAGTAACGTCCTTGCCTTTTTTAGATGTCACTCTATCAGCATAACTTCAGCTTTGTTTAGGGTCATCAACTACCAAGTTTTTCTAAGAAGAGATTTTTTCTATTGATTTGAATGTGCATATTTCGATACACTGTAGCGCCTCTGCTGTCTGTATAAATGCATTTTTACAAATGTTGAAGATCAGGTGACGCAAAAAGCAGGACAAAACAAAGACGAGTGCAGCTGTTATATTCTAAAGCAGTTCTTTTCTTTTCTTTTTTATACAGCACTATAAAATCTTAGATAAAATGTTGCCGTGTGGAGAAAAAAATGATTGAAACCATCTATGTTATTCATCGTCAACTGCAGCACCATACCAAAGCAAAGTTTTATTGTCGGTAACCAAATCTGAGAAAAACAAAATAAGAAGTTTGCAGATTGATTGCCGTATCGAGCTGATTTTAGTCGTGAGTGATAGTAATTAGCAATAAGAAAATAAAATAAAAAGCAAGTGACTACTGCAAAGCAGCACAGTTGATAGGTGATGCTGGCATAACTTGTTTGAAATAATACCTTTGTCGGTTTTTTAGTTACGCTTGCAGTTTTTGTGCGGAATTCGTACCATGGTCGATTTTTAATGAGATGCTTAGTAAAAATAACCCTCTATCGAGACGTTATAGCAACATTTTCTTTGTCACCTAACTGTACTGATAAAGATTGCAATTTGAGTAAAAAAAGATGGATTTTCAACTGACATCCAAGTGGCTAATTTTGTAAGATTTACATCGGTCATCCAACCAGCTAACCTTTAACAGTGATGATAGCCTGATAAATCTTAAAAGTATGAAAACTACTGTTTGAATAAAGAAAAAAGAAAGGAGCTATTGATTTTGAACTACAAAGTCTCACATTTTCAATCCAACAGCAATAATGTGTCCAACTAGCAACTTGCAGCTCTGTGATATTACTGTAACTCAACAACTCCGCGATAGAACCATAGAGAATTTTTGTGAAAAATTCTTCTGAACAATCACAAAATAAGCCACTAACACTTGACGATAGACAAATACTTAACTTCTTTATTCATAATCAGATCTTTTGCAAAAATAATAATGCATGATTTAGCAAACAATCATACTTTAATTTGAACGTTACCAAAAACTATTTCTTTTTTTGATGTTACCAATGAGTCAGATGTAAACAACGCGACTTAACTTTGTTCTTTTTCTGGAGTGCGCATAATCGTAAACTGGACCAATAATTCTTGAATTCATGTCGTACAGACCATATATGTCTGGGCCAAATACTTCTTGCTTTTGAAAATACATCAATATTGCCCAACAGATACAGCATATAATTATTGCCGAAGCAGTGACAGCAACAATTGTAACTGCTAAATACAGAAGTATGGTTTTATGCGATAATTAACAGCACTCTTGCTTTTAATTATTAATAAACAGTGTTCACATTAATCTGTTTCTGACTGATTAGAAAACCTTTACAAGTTTTTTACTTTTCTTAAGCGTAAAAATACCTTCAGTATGTAAAATTATGATAAAGAAGGCAAATATATATACAGCACATGCAGTATGTACAGTGTATGTGTACAACCAACTTCTACGTAGCGATTACACTACTTACCTTTTATTATATGACTTTCGATCTCTTCATACGGCTGATAATTCTAAAAATGCATCTGAATATTATAATTAGCCCTTACATTTTGGGCTCTTTTCTGATAAACCGTTATTTTGTCCGCTTAACATACCGGTGTACTAAACACTTAACACATTTCTAAATATTTAAAATCACTAAAAAGTTACTTCTGTTATTACAGTAAAAAAAGACCATAAAGACTAGTTTCTGTAAAATTTTAAAATTTCGTGTTTGATTTTGTAAAAAGAGGAATTGAAAGTGCAGCGCATTAGCAACGGACTCTGAATAAAGTTTTCGCAACCCGCTACTAACGAAACAAATTTTTTACCACATTCCTCATTATTTTCAAATTGCTGCTTTTGATTTGACTTCATAGTGCTTAAATCTGATAAATACGCATAAAAGATTTAACCTCACCGTTGATGATGCAGACGTAGACTCTGCAATTGCCGCCCTCTGTGCCCTCGGCTTGCTTGATACGTTCAAAGGTTGAAAAATTGATTCCGGAAGTTTTGTAGAATTCTCTGCAACAGTTTTGTCACGTGGCAGTTGTTGTGAAATTGAAACACTTTGCATTAACCGAAACTGCGTGTTCAATTCAAATGCAGCATTCACTTTTATATTTACAGATGAAAGACTCCATTTGCAGTGCACTCCTATCGTCCCAACCCTTTCCGGGAATGTGAACCACACTGAAAGCCTCTTGAACAGGACAGCAGTTATTTGGCTGATCCACTGCCCAGTCCGAAAAGCTTGGAATTGTACCATCGGGATATACCCACTGGTCGCCCACATACCTTAAACCAATCCAAAACGAACCGTTCTCCGACAGCTCTGCAACGAAAACATTTCCACGCGAACAGAATACCCTCACTCAATTTTTTTAAATACATGCAAGTTTGTTTTGAAATTAAACTGATGAGGAACTCTAAATCCGATTAAAATTCAATTAAGCGATATCTCACCATTTACAGGGGCAACAGACAAATAAATGAATGTTTAAAGAAATTAATTCACTTTCCAAAAAACTTAGTTCTTTCCGTGAATCCATCCAAACGACTCTAGAACCTTTCACAGCGCAGATTTTTTCGGCGTCTATCAAGTTCATTTTTATCCGTTGCTGAATAAGCAGGGCTAGACGTTTCAAAATCTTGTAGAGGGGCAGTAAAAATTAGAGTGATGCAATTTCTTTAGTCAAGTAGCGGCACACAGAACTATTTTACCAAACTTAAAGGTGAGTTTTGATAAAATGGTTGTTCAAGGTTGTTTGACCAAAAGCTCTTCAACGGTAACTCACAAACATGTAGCAGAATCCATTGTATTCAACAAAACCTGGTCTGCAGGCGGTCTCGGCTGGAATGGAAGAAATTTTCAATTAATTCAAGTATAACTCTGCAAAAACTTTACTCAAAGTTGTTTGGCTACAACCTCTTTGTTAGAGACTTGAAAATAATTCATCAGCAGATCCTAAACAGAAGAAATCTTGCAAGTAACTTAGGTCAGTAAAAAGAACGACAGGCTGTAAAAATAATTTTTTTGTTATTTCAACTAAACTGAGAATTAAACCTTAAAGTCAGTCGCAAGATCTTTCACTGACATCTAAGTGAACCAAAAACCTACGATTAAATTCACACAGAAAAGGAAGCCGCCTATAGCAGGAAGCCGTGCCAAATCCATCTTTATTGCCTCCATATCCACAACTAAGTTTTCTGTTAGCTTTTTTTGAAAAAGTGAATTTTTTTTGCGCAATGAAGTTATACCATTCCCATGCGCCTTTCCACCGACGCAATCCAATCCAAAAGAGTTCATGATTAATCTTTTCTGAAAAGTCGCTTTTAAGCATTGAAAGAGAAGTAATTAAAACCCGAACGGCCGAGTCTCTTAAAACTGTTGAGGATTACTTATAAATTTTAGCAACAGCCTCGTTCCTATTAGCCCCAAAAGCAACAATAAGATAAATTAACAGACAATAAATATAATAGATAACAATGATAGTACAAATAATAACAATGATAATGATAATAACAATGA